AAAAAAAAAAAAAAAAAAAAAAAAAATATTTATATATTTTTAAGCAATAATCATAAAACTATTTCATTTTTTTTTTTTTGTTATTCCACTGCTGTGCTTAATGTATTTATAGCTGCTGCAATTTCTTTCATGACGTCAATTAAATTTGAGAGATTTTCAATAACTAATTATATATATATAAATAAATAATAATAATAAAACGTACATCTTGGGACTTTCCATCATTTTTGTTTAATTTATTTCACTATTTAGTGTTATTTATTCACAACAACAGAATAATTATCACTAGAATTTTGTGGACTAAAAGATAGCATGAGACTCAACTAGTAGAAAAAACTCACTCAGGATGAAGGTCTTAAGGATGACCTTCATGAATTTATAAGGATTCAATGTTTAGCTTTCGTCCCGTCTCCGCCGATTTAAGTGGTGTTTCAACACAACATTCGACTTCAGTATAAAATTCAAATTCAGATAACCTTTTTAGTAGATATCCACAACCTGCAGTAATAAGTATCAACATAAGAGCCGTAATGAATTGTATAACTTGTGTATGCCACATTGGGTTTTTCAGTACAGTTTTTGGATTCTCAACAGTTTCCTTAGCAACTTGACACGTGTCTTCATCCTTTTCTTCTATTATCATCTGGTTTTCTTGTACGTCAACACAAGATTTTATTGTATCAATGGGATTATCTATTATCTGGAAAAGTAATTTATTATAAAGTTTTAACCAGTTTGAAGCTTTAGAAAACTAAGAAATATGTTGCATAATTTGTACATGGCAACACTGCAATCCATTGCACTTATAATTATTCTTACTCTTATTTATTCTTATTCTTACTTTATCTTTAAACATTAAACGAATACGGTTGTGTTCTTTGTTTGATGGTGTTGGTTTTAGTTGGACCACGTGTCAATAGCGCGTTTTTACCTGGGCCCATAACCAAGGTTTATTAAAATTATAATGTTTTCGGTTTCAAGTATTGAAAAATTAAGTAGTGATAACTACTAGACTTGGTCGGTACAAGTCCAAAGTTTATTGATTAGATTAGATTTGTGGAATGTAATCGGGAGTAAATGTCCGGAAGCTTCAGCGGAAAAGACAAGTTGGATTGTATGAGATCAATTAGCGCTTGCTAGAATCAACTTGAGTGTTAAATCCAGTGAACTTATTCATATTAGAAACTGTAATAAGGCGAAGGATGCCTGGGATATTTTAAAAAATTTATATGAATCAAATACAGCGTGCCGTAAAGTTAATTTGTTTAAACAGCTCACATGCTTTAAAATAAAGAGTATAGAGAACATATCAAGCCAAATAGGCGAATTTTGCATTATTGTGGACAGCCTCAAAAGTATCAATATTGAATTATATGAAGAATTTATATCGGTTTTATTATTATGTGCGTTGCCGGATGAAATGGAAAATTTCGTAGTTGTCGTAGAAAGTAGGGATGAATTGCTTAAGCTAGATCAGATAGTGTCCAAAATCCTAGAAGAGGTAAGGCGACGAGACGGCAAAGGTGAGGGAAATGATAAACGACTTCTAGACTTCTAAATACATCAAATATTGAATATAACAGACATCACATTCCAAGAATTACCGATATAATAAAAACAAAAGTAACGGTAAAAACTTCAACATGCGGTATAATGCAAATAATAGAAATAACATCAAAAGTAAAAATAACAACAAGAAGAGCTGGAAAAGCAACAATATCGAGTGCTATGTATAAATGCCATTAAAGGGGACACGTACGTTCTGAATGGCCGCAGTCGGGAGAGAAGGTTGAGAAGGCTGCGTCAGCGTTTACGGCAGTATGCTCTCAACAGAACAATAAAACGTGGGTTTTAGATTCAGGCGCTACATCTCACATGAGCCCAAGAAAATAGTTATTCGATTCTCTTGAAGAGTGGAAGCAAAAAATAGTGTTGGCGTCAGGTGACTGCGTATATTCAGAGAAGAGAGGAACACTAAATGTAAAGACAAAATATGCAAACTTATCTCTCTTAAGTTTCGTTCCTTTTCGTTCCCGGTTTACATTGCAATTTTTTATCATTAAACAAAATATTAAAATCTGAAAATTTAAATTCTTTTTTGAGAAAAACAGTATATTGCATCAAAAGACGTTAACCCATTGCCCTCAGCAGAATGGTGTAGTAGAGAGAGTAAATAGAACACTCGTAGAAATGACAAGGTGCTTATTATTCAATTCTGGTTTACCTCAATTTTTATGTGCTGAAGCTGTAAACACCGCCTGTTACTTGCGAAATAGATCACCTACAACGGTTTTGCTGAATGTAACCCCATATGAACGTTGGTTTGTGAGAAAACCATCTGTTCACCACATACAAACATTTGGATGCAATGCGATCGTGCTAAATAAGAATTTGCACCAGAAGGAACTGTATACAAAATGATCAGCTATGAAACTTCAACAAAGGGCTATAGATTATACAACTCTTCAAAACGAAATATTATATTATAAAAGCAAGGGATGTGAAATTTCTTCAAAATTCATTTGTGAAGGAGAAAAATATACAAAAAGTAATTGCAGATGAAAATCAGTCATTCTGCATGGGGTTCTCAAATCCAAAAACGGTTGTGCCGAAAAATTCAAATAAATTCGGAAATCACTGAAAATGACTTGGATCTGGAAGAGAAAAATGTTGAAAATAAGAAAAATGTTAAAGAAAGGAAAACAAGAAATAGAGCAAAGCAACAAAAACTAAGTTTATATGCAGAAAATCTACAGACTGTACAGGAAGCATTATATTCAGAGGATGCTGAATATTGACAAAAGGCTATGAATACAGAATACATGTCTTTATTAAAAAACAATACTTGGTCATTGGTAGACAAACCTGAAGATAAAAATATAATAGGTTGTAGGTGGGAAAAAAAAGCAAGGTTAGTTGCTCAAGGATGTTCTCAACAGTATCAGGTGGATTATATCGAAATATTGTCCTCTGTGGTAAGACAGTCTACAATTCGGTTACTGCTAGCACTGGCTGCAAGGCATAAGCTTTTAGTAAATCATGTTGACATTGTTGCAGCGTACTTAAATGGTGACCTGCAGGAAGAGGTGTTTATACGTCAACCACCAGAATTTGAAAATATTTACAATCGCAGCAAAGTATGTAAGCTTAACAAAGCTTTATATGGATGGAAGCAGGCTGGGCGCGAATAGAATAAAAAAGTGACGCAAATTTTGGAGACATTGGAATTTAGAAGGTGTTTATCCGACAGCTGTGTATATGTAAGACGTCAAGTGCAGAATTTGTGCTTCATCGCAGTGTATGTAGACGATATGTTGGTGGTATCGAATACTCAAATTGAGATGGATGAAGTTGATGGTTGAAGTTGATGGTTGAAGTTGATGAACGTGGCTCGAATTCGTTTTATCTTGGATTGGAAATCGGGAAAAATGAAACACGAGGTGATATTAGTATTCATCAAGAAAAATATACAAAGAAGTTGCTAAAACGATGCAGCATGAGTGAATGTAAGGGCGCGTCTTCGCCATGGCTAATTGGTTCGGATTTGAAAAAATGCGAAAACGAATATGATGCATTTGTCAATAAAGAATATCAAAGTCTTATCTGCTGTCTCATGTATTTATGTATAATCTTTCGTCCTTATACTGCATATGTGGTTTCAAAACTTTCGCAACTCAATAAACATCCACATCAAGAACAGTTTCAAGCAGCAAAACACGTGTTAAGATACCTGAAACAATATCTAAAAGGTATAATTACCTATAGTCATAATCAGAACGAATTTATATCCTTTACAGATTCTGATTTAGACACAGACTCCAATGATCGAAAGTCCTGGCTTCACTACTTTTATAGCTGGCGGTCTTGTGTCATGGGAGTCAAAGAAGCAACCCATAGTTGCATTAAGTACTATGGAGGCTGAATATGTTGCAGTCAACCAAGGTGTAAAATAAGTAGTTTTCCTGCGTAGTCTACTTGGAGAAATAGGATTCGTAGAATTTTTAACAACCCCAACCAAGGTTTTTTGTGACAATCAAAGTGCATTATTTATGGTGAAAAATGCTTGCATGCAATTCGCAAAAATCACTGCAATAAAGCTGCCAATTCCAACATTAATAAGGAACAATATTGGTTTATACTGGTTCCAAGTCAATAACATGAAGGCCGATACTCAAAAGTTTGTTAGGGTTATCGCGGCACTGGATGCATCGTTGTTAGAACAGATTTATAACACTATACAAAAAAGACGAATCATTACTGAGAGGGTTATGGTTACAACATCTCCCTGTAGAAATACAAACATGTCAAGCCACAATTCAAGTAGAACTACCAAAGATGAAAGATGCAAGTAACTTATGTCAACGCAGCTGACGCCCCTACAGCAGCTCATATTCAACGTGATGCGCAAATCGAACAGTTTCAACGAGAAGTGACCAGAATCACGAAAATGGTCTCGAAATTATCGGCCAAACACAGCTCAAGAACAAATCCACGTTCACGTTCAACATAAAGAAACCGGCAATGTCATGATGATAGCAAAGAAAATAGCAGTACAAATTGTTAGAGTCATAAAACATATGGTTCAAGTCCAAAAAATTGCAAGCAGCCATGCCCATATAGCACAAAAAACTAAAACCGACTTAGTCTACGGCGGCAGAGGAAGTTGTAAACAAAACATCTATACGACTGTTTATCTAAGAGAATAAGACTAAAAAATCATTTCTAATCGACACGGGTGCAGATGTTTCTCGTATTGCCGTCAAACAAAAAAATTCAAATACAAAGATTAATAACGATAGAATACTCTAAGCAGCAAATGGTTCTACGATCAAAACATTTGGTAAAATGGAGCTAACTCTAGCTCTTGGCTTACGAAGAAATTTCACATGGCCATTTATTATCGCAGATGCAAACACTTCAATCATCGGCGCTGATTTTTTAAATCATTTCGGATTAATAGTAGACATTAAAATGAAACGATTGATCGACAGATCGACAAACATTTTTTAGCTACAAGCGAACGTAAGATAACCGCCCAAAAAATATCAACTGTGAACACAGCTTGCAAAATTGCAGATCTATTAAAAAAATACATTGACATTACAAAATCAATACCGACAAATTGCGAGGTGACCAAAGTCACCTCTCCACATTTTAACAAAGACCAATATGTGAGAGACAACGTAGATTACCTCCAGACATGCTAGCAGCAGCGAAAGAAGATTTCCAAAAGTTAGTCACAGCTGGAATATGTCATCCATCAAGAAGCAATTGGGCTAGCCCCTTACATATGGTAAAAAAACCAAACGGAAGTTGGAGACTTTGTGAAGATTACCATCGCTTAAATACAATCACCATCCCAGATCGTTATTCAGTTCCTGATATACATGATTTTACACACATGTTATAATAACCAAAAGATTTTTCAACGATCGACTTAATTAAGTCATATCACCAGATACCAGTTGAATCGGTTGATATTCCAAAAACGACGATCATTACTCCGTTTGGATTATTTGAATTTACCAACATGACATTCGGACTTTGCAATGCAGGTCAAACATTTCAACGCCACATTCACGAAGTATTACGAGATCTCGAATTCGCATTTGCCTATATTGACGACATCATTATTGCATCAGCAAATAAAGAAGAGCACAGACAACACTTGCAACTAGTATTTGAACGATTCAGAAAACATGGTTTAGTAATAAACGTATCAAAATGCGTTTATTAGTGTCATCAGTGAAAAAGCATTCAACCTCTACCAGATCGAGTGAAGAGCATCATCGAGAACCCGCTTCCAACAAAAACAAAAGAATTAAAAAGATGTCTAGCGTTAGTCAACTTTTATCGTATCGTTCGTACCAAACGCAGCAGACTCTCAAACTAAACTTCAACAAATGATACAAGAAACAAGAAGAACGACAACACACCGTTATCCTGGACCGAATCGAACAAAACAACCTTCCAAAAACCACTCGGTTTTTTCTCTAAACGATTAACAGATTAACAGTGAGCCGCATATCAGGGCATAAAACATTTTCGACACATGTTAGAAGGTCGTGAATTCGTGTTATTAACTTATCACAAGCCACTTACGTTCGCATTCCAGTAAAAGTCCAACAAGGCTTCAGCACGTCAAGTCCGTCTGCTTAGTTATATAAGCCAATTTACTACTAATATCGTTTATGTCAGCGGAAAAGACAACGTTCCAGTAGAATAAAACTATCTACTATCTACTCGCATATTGCTTGTTCTTACAAGCAATATCAGACAAAATTTATTGCGAAGTTTCAACTGGGTGAATTCGTCCTTACATTCCACAGAAGTACCGGTTACATATCTTTAAAGCTATTCATGGGTTGTCTCACCCCAGCATTCGGTATACAACAAAAATGAAGTTGGAAAATTTATCTTAAGCAATAGTAAGCAACCTTAACAACAAAAATACAAATCAACACGATTTCATAACCAAGCTAAAAGCACAAATGCAAAAAGTCAAATCAACGTTAGTATCGCATCATACAGACCGAGGTTAAAACATACCACCGGCTCTAAGCGCAGCTACGCATATATTTATACGAAATGACAAGATAAAACCACCACTGACGCAACCTTACGACGGCCCTTACCAAATACTAGAGCGGAATGACAAGACGCTTAAAGTACTGATCGAAAACAAAGAACAAACAATGAGCATAGATCGCCTTAAAGCGGCTTTCATATGTCACAATACAGACATAGACGTTTACAACAAATCAGTGGTATGACCTACCCCAAACAACGTAAATTGCGACCAGTCTTTACGACCAAATACAAGAGCTAACCTGACAAGATCAGGACGCAACGTTTTTTTCCAACCAAATTCAGTGACTTCGCTACTTAAGGGGGAGTACTATGGCTACACCAAAAAATTATTATAAAAAACTGTCAAAAAGAAAAAGAGTGTTCCAACGATCGAGTCTCCCGCCATTATGATTGGAAGAAATGTAAAACAAAATAATTTGTAATATTTAAATAAATAAAATAGATAAAATTAAGTAACTACAACAACCACTACATACTCTTAACAATTATTATGAGAAAATATAATAATAAATTAATATTTTTACAGCCTTCATGGCGGGTAATTAAAAGCGAACATATCTACATTCCCTTTTCAATTTAGGCACAACCAAAAAGTACAACAGTAGCAATAGTAGTAGAAATACGGAAATGGCAATACGGATGTGACACTCTACATAATATGCATTTTCGTCATAGCCCGAAAGAGTCAATTTTAACGTGGCCGTGGCCGTGACAGTCTGCATAACATGGGCCTAACTACGTTAAAGAATGAATTTTGAGGTATATACAAATGATTTCCGTAATACAAGGAAGCAAGACCACCTAATATGTTCTTAAGGACTATGTCCAATTGTGCAACGAAAACAGGTCCTTCTGTGATTACGAAAGAAGTACAATTGTTCCAAGCAGCGTACACTGCTTTCTCTTTCTCTCTTTATCTTTTTCTCTCTTACCCCTAATTTCGCTTTGAGTAAAATTTCAATATTGTTTTGCTTACACTTACACTGTTATTTAGTATGCATTGATATGTAATCAAAATTTTTTCAAAAGTCATATTGTTTGAACGGCTTTCGTTTTGCAGAGAGTACCAGAGGGCTCATTTCTAAGCTTGTGTTTTGAGCTTTTGTCGTCCAATTGGTTTCTGGCTATTAATACTGGATTCACATGAGAAATTTTTGTGTGATTTTAGCTGTCATTGTTGTTGATTTCAGTGTAAAATGAAAATTTTTGACAGCTAAAATTACAAACAAAACTCTCGTGTGAATCCAGTATAAGACAACAAACGTCAGGCTTATTTCGAAAGAAAGCTTATGTGTGCAATCACTAAATATTTTTCATCTTAGAGCTGCTATAAGTAGAAATTTTAGTTAAACATGCGAATATCGAAGGAGGGAAACAGCGATTTCTTCAATAAATCCGTTGTAATGTAGAACAGCGACTATTTCAGAGGGTTGAGTAGTCAATGAACGTTGACTCGCGAAATATCAATTGCATATAAATTCACTTCATCCTGAAAAAACCACTACAGATCTTCGAAATAAACTATTATTTTGTAGAGATTCGTAGAGATTGTAGAGAATTTACAGAAATTGTAGAGATTTTGTAGAGGAATAAAGTAGTAAGGAGAATGAGGCTATAGATATAGTTGATCCGAACAAGAAAAGCGTTTTCAATATTGTGTTGTTATATGTCACATAAACGTTAATTTTTTGAACACTTAATTATTTTATCTACCTTTGACCTTTGACAACATAAACATTCCACCGGCGCTTTTAATACATCATATACACAGGATACGCGATGTTGTTCAATTTTGTAAGACTTTGAAGGAACTTGTTTCCAAAACATTTCCATGACTTCCGGTCCATTCAAATCAGGAGGAGCTGGTAGAGCACTTATGAGGAACTTATCTTTTTCGAATCCTTCTTTAAGTTTTACGTGATTTTTTAGAACAATGGCAACATTTACTGATTCGCCTTGTTGCAAAACACCAAAACGTGGTCTGACACGGAATTTCATTGGTGATGAGGTCTGAACCTTAAATTAAAAATTCAAACGAGTTTTACAAAATTTATTCAAAAAGATTCATATAAATTTACCTTATATGTAATTGGAGTATTAACCGAATTTTTAAGATGCAAAAGACATTCACGTTCACCCGTTTTTGAGAAACGGAGTTTGTCCTTTGGGGAAACAATTAGCATAGGATCCATGACTAAAAATTAGATTTTTTAAAAGATATACTAAAGTTTTGTTACGAGGACACTTTCCGCCAGTTGTTTTTATTGAAAATTTTGATATACGAAAATTTTTACACTTTTATTCCTTTAAACCTGATTGTTATTTTAACATATTTTACAAATGACATTTAAAACTCCTATACTTCTTAGATCTATTCAATTTAATATTCAAATATTTTACTACTATTCAGTTTGAGTCAAAACAAAAATAATCTTTTGAAAATTATGAAATGTAGAAAAATATATGGAAATTTATTCCATGTAGAAGAATATATATGACAGATCCTCTGCCACGGCAAAATACTAATGTTCGACTCAGTGAAAAAATATATCAAGGACAGAGCCCCAAAATTATTCACAAAAGTTGATACGTTGCCCAACCCCGTCCTAACAAACCTTAAGTTTAGCTCAGGATGCACAGAAAGATATGCTGATCTCCGGTCCGTCATCAGTTAGAAAATAAATAAATTATAAAAATTCTAGCTTAGTGTGGGGAAGAGCAAACACAACAACAACAACTAAACAGTTGAAAACTAAATGCTTAGTAATGCGACGAGATAAAATAATGATGTAACTCTTATAATCAAAACCTGAAGATAATTTTAATGATTTCGGAAAATATTGTTTTGATCCACAACGTACATTAGTTCAATAATTACGCGTACAGCAAAAACTGTCCATAATTCTCAAAACTTGCAAACATCATGAAGCTAGACTATTTGGTCTGTTGTTGTTGTTGCTGTAAGGTAAGTTGAATATTGTTGAAGTATTCACCGCAACCTCTTCATGGAATCAACAAGTTTCTGGAACTCACACTTGGGCACTCTTTTTGTTGTGGGAAAGCACTTGAGTGTTACACTTAAGTATAACTTAGATGACGACTTATTATAACTTAATATATAGACATGTTCATTAAGTGATACTTTACAGAACTTACATTATGTTTTTTTTATGGTAGACTAATATCATATATGTTTGATATCTGCTAAGTATTATGAGCGGTTTATAATATTTAGTGTTATATCATGGATTGGAATTCGAGATTTTGTTAGACATGTTAAATTATTCCACAGTAAAATTCTGATAATTCTTACATTTTTTCCTACACAGCTATAGTATGTCCTTGCTTTCTATAGCTCCTGACCCAGTTTTAAATTTACAGATTTTTTCTGACAAGCTTAGTCACCATTACTTTTTCTTAAATGTCAATGGTCTTTCACTATTATACAAATAATTTATAAATTTTTTATTATTTATTTGATATACTTATCATTTCAAAGCCCAGTGCTTTTTATGTTTGCTGAATTGAAGTTTCCTATTTAATTGAGTGTAGTGGGTCAGAAATAAAAGTGTTAAGCCCCTTAAGCTCATCATCATATGTTCAGTCAAATAGTCATTGTTATTCTATTTTAAGCTGCAAGTTGTATAGGTTGTTCTTAGATGTCTACTCTTTCTCATTTTCCCACCTAAGATTTCAGTTCAGCCAAGAACCTTCGCCATGTTTTTTCTCTGTGTAGTAGTAGTATTCTTTTTATTAAATTTAGGTTATATTTACATTTACAAAATTAACATTTTCAATAATTTATAATATATAAAACATAAATATTATAAATAATTATAAGAAAACTAATAAGAAAAACCTAACTTCATTTACATAGTATCTAATTTTATCTTTATACGATTATGGCATTTGCCGTCAATTTTTTCTCTGTGTATTTATTACAAAATACACATCAGAAGTCCACTATACCTGTTTTCTGGCGATTTATTTATTTGACTCTGAGTAGTCTCTTGTCACATGTCAGTCTCTTCAATAATTCAATATCTTTTTTATTTTATTTTTAATATATTTTACAAATCTATTTGATTTACATTGGATTACTCTGCATTCAGGTATCTATATATTACGCCAAAAGCAACTATAACAGGTTAATGAATACTTGAACTGTTTAGTATCATCCTGAATTGGATCTTAAAATTAAATTATATCACAGGGAGTAGTTTTACGCCATCTGTCAATTATTTGAAAAAGGAAAGATATTTTACATGTCCTTGTGTGCATTCTTGGCTGATCGATGAATATAACTTTCTCATTCATAACTACCATATAGTTATGAATAGTTAGAAATAAAACGACTTGATTTGTATTATCTCTTAATTCTAATCTTCAAAATGTTAGCTTTATATCTATTTCCGGAGTCTTGAGGAAAACAAAAATTTCGTCTCTATTTCTGCAAAGCAGCTATTAAAACTGACTAACAGAGAACGACCTGGCAAATCCACTCTAGACCAGATATTCACAGTGCGTCAAATCCTGGAGAAGACTCAAGAAAAACAAATCGACACACACCACCTATTTGTCGACTTCAAAGCTGCTTTTGACACTACGACTAGAAGCACATTCTATGCCGCTATGTCTGAATTTGGTATCTCAGCAAAACTTATACGGCTATGTAAAATGACGTTGAGCAACACCACCAGCTCCGTTAGAATTGGAAAGAACCTCTCCGAGGCGTTTGATACCAAACGAGGTTTCAGACAGGGTGACTCCTTGTCGTGTGACTACTTTAACCTAATGTTGGAAACGATAATTCGAGCAGCAGATTTAAACCGTACTGGCACAATATTCTACAAAAGTGTAATGCTACTTGCGTATGCCGACGATATTGATATCATTGGTCTGAACACCCACGTCGTCAGTGCGGTATTTTCCAACTTAGAAAAACAAGCAAAGCAAATGGGTCTTGTGGTAAATGAGGACAAAACAAAGTACTTTCTGTCAACAAACAAATCTCCTGAGCGTCTTGGGACCCACGTCACTGTTGACAATTATAAGTTCGAAGTTGTGAAAGACTTTGTTTATTTAGGAACCAGCTTAAACACCAAAAATGACGTCAGCCTAGAGATTCAACGAAGAATTACTCTTGCCAACAAATGTTACTTCGGGCTAAGTAAGCAATTGAGAAATAAAGCCCGCTCTCGACAAATAAAAATCACGCTCTACAAATCCCTTATCATACCTGTCCTGCTGTGTGGTGCAGAAGCTTGGACAATTACCAACAGTGATGAGAAGGCGTTAGGAGCATTCGAGAGATTCTTCGGAAATTCTTCGGAAGATCTATGGTTCCTTACGCGTTGGCGACGAGTATCGAATTAAATGGAACGAAGAGCTATATGAGCTATACCGCGACATTGACATAGTTAAGCGCATAAAAATTCAGCGGCTACGCTGGCTAGGTCATGTCATGCGAATGGAAGAAAGTGCTCCGGCTAGAAAGGTATTTGATTCGGTACCCGCAGGTGGAAAACGCGGTAGAGGACGTCCGTATCTTCGGTGGAAGGACCAGGTGACAAACGATTTGGGGGCGCTCGGTACTACCAACTGGCGTCAGAAAGCAACTAATCGGGCTGACTGGCGGAGGCTACTCGACGCGGTCAAGGACGACACACGTCTGTAATGGCCAACTAAGTAAGTAAGTAAGTAAGAACGCCAGCTTAAGGTCCAAACAAATCAAAGAACAAAACTAGTTTGATTTACCCACAACAATTAAAGATTTTTATCTCTTCACGCCGATGATACATGCATTATGTATTTCAGCAAAAAGGAGACACAGATCACAAGAAATCTGCAGGAATACATAGAGGAACTGGAAAAGTACTTCACAAAATGGAAAATCAAAATAAACGTCGAAAAAACACAAGCAATTTTCATAACAAGGAAAAAAGTTCAAAACTCACAAAAACTATGGGTTTACAACAGAGAAATACCACATATACCACACATTCGAGAAAAAAAAGAATGATTTGCAGTGGACTGCCAAAATCACTGCAACCAATGATAAGGAAAAAACTAAACATCAAAAACAAGATATTGATCAACAAGCCGATAATAAGACCGAATCTCTTAAACGGATGCATGGTGTATGGGAATGCAGCAAAAAGTAGCATAGCTCAACTACAAATAGCACAAAAATACCCAACATCATACCGCTCATATATATTAGGAACACGGACATACATAAAGGACAAAGCATTGAAATTATTTCAGAAGGTGGACAATCCAGAAATCCAACTTTAAGGATATTAAAGCCCAGAGGATTGACCTAGTGAATATAACTAAAATGTTCAAAAAGATAAGGGAGTAAAGGTACCAACAGGCACTAACTCTAATGAACCAAACAACATAAGCACAGTCAGTTCAGTTCAGTCTGAGCTCTTGAAGAGATAGTATTCCGACTACAATACGGTTAAGATATTGTACTTATAATAAGAAGTAAATAATATTTCAGCCGACTATACTACTTATATTATTTAGCGAAAAATAATCTCTGGGCAAATATTAATATTTTGTAACAAATTTGGTCTGGAAAATATAAAATCGTTGCCACACGGCAACACTGTAAATTGACAGAAAGAAAAAAAACCATGAAAGATATCTGCTTTTTTTTAGTTATAAATAATAAATAATTATATAAATATATCTTATCTTAAAAGTGTTGTTTATAATTTTCATATTTCTAACAAATATTCTCTTTGAAAGTATATAAGATATTTAGTAAATAAAGACTATTAAGTATTAACAATTAGCTGGCGTGATTATTTTTGGCAGTTGCTGGGTTATTGACAATCCAGAGATACGAACGAGAACAAAGACGGAATTACAAAAAGCAAATTCGTAACAATATATATTTAAATATATGTATTTTATTTTCTATTTTTAAGTTGTTACTTCGAGACTATTTAAAGTCGTTTTGTTTTTTAGGATTTTGGCTATGAATTTTGGCTTTCATCAGGCGATTCCTAATGTGTTAGTGACTATTAGGAGTTCTCGTGATGAAGGCAAAAGCGAATTAAAATATATTAAAACAAATGTTCGAAATAAAAGCCAAAATCTTGAAAAAAACAAAACGACTACTTTAAATTTTAAAATTTTTATATATGCTTGGATTGTAAGTATTATTTCAGTGGTTAATATAAAATACTTAGAAGCTACTTAACCTAAAGGTACATCCACACCAAAACCAACGCTTACGAAAGAATTAACCTTTGCAGGTAAAATTACCTGGGAATGTTGGTTCGTTCGCAA